TTAATAAACAGAAATTTATTTTCTAACAGTTTAGGAGGCTAGAAGTCTAAATTCAGGGCACTAGCTCTAGGGGAAGACTTTCTCTCTCTGTTGGCTTTGGGGGAAGGTCTTTATCTCTTTTCAACTTTTAGTCCTCGGTTCCTTGGTGATCTTCATGTAGCATGGCATTTATCTTTCTCTTATCTGTGTCTAATTTTTATATCTCAAAAGTGATTGGGTTTAAGACACACCCTACACTGATAAGGCCTCATTAACATAACAAAGAAAACTCTATTCCCAAGTGGGATTATATCCACAGGTATGCTGTAGAAGAGAAAGGACATATAATCGGAAGCACTACTTTCTGGATAACCTCTATTGAAAAATGGTATCAGACAGCACACACTACAAGGGAAGTCAGCACAACTGGACTAAATCAAACCTAAGAAGTTTCCTGAATACAATCAAACACTTTGAGGGACAGACTAGCAGGGGTAGGGATCTGGGGACCATGCTTTCAGGGGACATCTAGGTCAACTGGCATAACAGAGCTTATTAAGAAAACATTCTGCATCCTACTTTGGTGAGTGGTATCTGGGGTCTTAAAAGCTTGCAAGTGGCCATCTAAGATGCATCAATTGGTCCCAACCAACTGGAGTAAAGGAGAATGAACAACACCAAAGACCAAAGTATTAGCCCAAGAGACAGAAAGGGCCACATAAACCAAAGACTGCATCAGCCTGAGACTAGAAGAACTAGATGGTGCCCGGCTACCACCAATGACTGTCCTGACAGGGAACACAATGGAGAGTCCCTGATGGAGGAGGAGAAAGGTGGGGTGAGAACTCAAATTCTAGTAAGAAGACCAGACTTAAAGGTCTGACTAAGACTGGAGGAACCCCGGAAAGCATGCTCCCGGATTCTCTATCAGCCCAGAACTGAAACAATTTCCGAGGCCAACTCTTCAGACAGGGATTGGACTGGACTGTGAGACATAAAGTGATACTCTTGAGGAGTGTGCCTCTTAGCTCAAGTAGATACAAGACACTGAACAGGCAGCTTCTTTCCAGAGGTGAGATGGGAAGGCAGAGGGGGTTAGGAGCTGGTTGAATGGACACTGGGAATCAGGGGTGGAAAGGAGGAGTGTGGTGTCACAGTGTGGGGAGAGTAATTAGGGTCACATAACAATGTATGCGTAAATTTTTGTATGGGAGACTAACTTGAAATGTAAACTTCATTTAAACTACAACAATAAAGAAAAAAAAAAGAAAAACAAGAAACCCAAAGAGACCTGCATAAGTGGAAAAACATTTACCATACTCACGGATAGGAAGACTCAACATTGTGAAAATGTCTATTCTACCCAAAACAATCTACAGATACAATGCAATCCCGATCCAAATTCAAACGGCATTTTTTAATGAGATGGAGAAACAAATCAATAACTTCATGTGGGAAGGGAAGAGGTCCTGGATAAGTAAAGCATTACTGAAGAAGAAGAACAAAGTGGGAAGCCTCACACTACCTGATTTTAGAACCTATTATACCGTCACAGTACTCATAACAGCCTGGTACTGTACAACAGACACAGAGATCAATGGAAGAGAATTGAGAACCCAGACATAAATCCAATCACCTATGAGCAGCTGATATTTGACAAAGGCCCAAAGTCCATTAAATGGGGAAAAGACAGTCTCTTTAACAAATGGTGCTGGCATAACTGGCTATACATCTGCAAAAAACTGAAACAAGACCCATACCTCACACCATACACAAAAACTAACTCAAAATGGATCAAAGAATGAATATAAAATCTAAACCAATAAAGATCACAAAAGGAAAAATAGGAACAATGCTAGGAGTCCTAATACATGACATAAACAGTATACAAACCATAACTAACAATGCACAAACCACAGAAGAGAAACTAGGTAACTGGGAGCTCCTAAAAATCAAACACTCATATTCATCAAAAGACTTCACCAAAAGAGTAAAAAGAACCTACACACTGGGAAAAAATTTTGGCTACGACATATCCGATCAGGGTCTAATCTCTAAAACCTACAAGATACTGCAACACCTCAACAACAGAAAGACAAATAATCCAATTAAAAAACGGGCAAAAAATATGAACAGGCACTTCACCAAAGAAGACATTCAGGCAGCCAGTAGACACATGAAGAAATGCTGATGATCATTAGCCATTAGAGAAATGCAAATCAAAAACTAAAATGAGATACCATCTCACCTGAAAAAGGCTGGCACTAATCTGAAAAACACAAAATAATAAATGTCGGAGAGGTTGTAGATAGACTGGAACTCTTACGCATCGCTGGTGGCAATGTAAAACGGTACAACCACTTTGGAAAACAATTTGGTGCTTCCTTAAAAAGCTAAAAACAGAAATACCATATGATCCAGCAATCCCACTCCTTGGAATATATCCTAGAGAAATAAGAGCCATCACACAAATAGATACATGTACACCCATGTTCACTGCAGCACTGTTCAAAATAGCAAAAAGACGGAAACAACCTAAATGTCCATCAACAGACGAATGAATAAACAAATTATGGTACATATACACAATGGAATACTATGCAACAATAAAGAATAATGAATCCACGAAACATCTCACAACATGGATGAATCTGGTGGGCATTATGCTGAGTGAAATTAGTCAGTCACAAAAGGACAAAAATTGTATGAGACTATTATAAGAACTCAAGAAAAGGTTTAAACAGAAAAAAGCATTCCTAGATGGTTACAAGCGTGGGGAGGGAGGGAGGAGGGAAATCACTAACTAGATAGTAGACAAGGATCAACTTCGGTGAAGGGAAGGACAACACACAATACAGGCGAAGTCAGCACAACTGGACTAAAGCAGAAGCTAAGAAGTTTCCTGGACACATCCAAACACTCTGAGAGACAGAGTTGCTGGGGCTGGAGCCTAGGGACTATAGTTTTGGGGGACATATAGGTCAACTGGCATAACAAAGTTTATTAAGAAAATGTTCTACATCCCACTTGGTGAGTGGCATCTGGGGTCTTAAAAGTTTGCAAGCAGCCATCTAAGACACATCAATTAGTCCCACCCCACTTGGAGCAAAGGAGACTGAAGAACACTAAAGACGCAAGGACTATATTAGCCCAAAGGACCAAAGGACCACATGAACCAGAGACTCCACCAGCCTGAGACCAGAAGAACAAGATGGTGCCCGGCTACCACCAACAACCACCCTGACAGGGAACACAAGAGAGAATCCTAGACAGAACAGGAGAAAAATGTAGAACGGAATTCAAATTCACGTAAAAACACCAGACTTAATGCTCTGACAGAGACTGGAGTATCCCCCAAATCCATGGCCCCTGGACGCACTGTTAACCCAGAACTGAAACCATTCCCGAGGTCCACTCTTCAGACAAAGATTAGATAGCACTATAAAACAAAAAATAATACACGTGAGGAATGTGTTTCTTCGTTCAATCAGATATACAAGACCAAATGGGCAGCTCTTGCCCAAAAGCAGGATGAGAAGGCAGGAAGGGCCAGGAACTGGTCGGATGGACACAGGAAACCCGGGATGGAAAGGGGGAGTGTGCTGTCACATTGTGGGGATTGCAACTAATGTTACAAAACAATATGTGTATAAATTTTCCTGTGAGAAATTAACTTGAGCTGTAAACGTTTACCTAAAACACAATAAAAATTAAAAAAAAAAAAATCAAATTGTGTGTTTTGTGGCCCACATTACTCTTTTTATCCATCTAACTTTTTTTGTCTATACCAGTCTGTGGTTTTTTAAAAATCCAGTTTGTCTAGACTTTGAGATATGAATTCATCAAAGCAGACAGATGCCAATATTCCTTTTCTCATCCACCTTGGACTTCAATTTCCTCTTACCAAGAACTTCCTTATCACCACTGATGATGTATGATATTGCAGAGCGACTCTGAACCACCCCTGCTTTCTAGCTGACGGCTGGACTGCTTCCCTCAGCAAAGACCCACACGCTGCAGAATGTCACCCATAGATGACCAAAGCACAGTGTGATCCACAGAGTACAGCTCTGGATCCTGGGGAAGCCAATTTGCTTCACCCAAAGAAAAACTGCTCTTTATCCCAAGACTTTAACCCTGGCAACCAACTCTCCAGGTCAAGTTAATAGAAACAGTAACAGTGAATATGATCTAGTATACCAAAAACCATTGCCATGGAGTCGATTCCGACTCATAACAACACTACAGGACAGAGTAGGACTGACCCATAGGGTTTCCAAGGCTGTAATCTTTACAGAAGCAGATTGCCACATCTTTCTCCCGCAGCTGGTGGGTTCAAACCACCGACCTTTCGTTTAGCAGCCAACCACTTAACCACTGTGCCACCAGGGCTCCTATGATTCAATATAGGCCCATTATAAATATTGAAAAATCTCAAGTTCTATGACTTGGTTGTCCTGTTAGATCAGTATTTACATAGAAGAGGCAGTCCCTACCTAACAAATACTTTCACTTTCATAAGCCCTAAGATACTAATTAAAATGTCAATGTCTAGCAATTTTTATTTCATACTATGGTATCACGTATATATAGAAAATTTTCAGGGGCATAAGAGGTTTATCATAATTACAGCATTTCACGTATTCATAAAAGGAATTTATCTAGTTTTAAAGTCTGGGATTCAGAGTCAAATTTCACAGAGGTTATATTCTTTTTTATGAAGCTTCCTTTATTGGACTTTAATTATAATTTTTATAGAATGATTCATATTTTATTTTCTGAGACAGGATCAGAAAAATCCATTCTTGCAAATAACTAAGTCTTGACTAAAACAAAAGAAAACTCTGAAATGTTAGAATCACTTAGAAACAAAACAGTTTATCATATGTAATATATATATTATATGTAATATTATACATAACATTAGTTTATACTAAATTAATATATTAGTTTATAATACATACATGATGTTGTTTATAATTTATTGTTACATTAGTACTGTATTAGTTTATTTTACTTACCAGAAAACTTGATTTCAGTAGAGTTAAACATAGTTTTCCTAAATATCAATGGTCCTGATTTCTAAAATGAAAAACAAAGAAATACAGAAAGAGCTTGTAAAAAAATTTCTCTGTTTAAAAGTATATATAGCTTTACCCTAGAAAATATATCATTCTAATCCTTACACTCTTCCCTATGACCAGGGTAATTATTTTTTAAAAAGGTAAATCTGACCTATCACTCACGTGCCTGTCTACTCTCTGCAGTTGATGTGAGGGTCAGGAGTGCTCCTGCCTCTGGTGATCTCCGCCAGGGGACAGACAGACATGAGGTAAGGGCTGCTGCCATCATGCAATTTGTGCTGCTCAGATGTGATATGAGCTGTCTGTGTATTTGCATGTTGTTCTCTTAGGAGCAACAGGAATGTTCTTTTGATAAGACAACTATCTCCCTCTGAAAACTGTTATGGTTTACCACTGCACTTAAAATAAACCAAAATTCTTCCTGTAGCCTAGACAACCCTGAATAATCAAGACCTGCCCACCTCTCTAGCAATTTTCTTGCAGTTCCTCAGGAAAGATGTGGCAGTCTGCTTCTGTAAAGATTTACAACCTTGGAAATCCTATGGGGCAGTTCTACTTTGTCCTGTACAGTCACTACGAGTCGGAATCAACTCAGTGGTAGTGGGTTTAGTTTTCTGGGGTTTTCCTCAGGACCTTAGTGGATGTCTTAGTTATCTAGTGCCGTTATAACAGAAATATCACAAGTGGATGGCTTTAACAAACAGAAGTTTATTCTCTCACAGCTTAAGAGGCTAGAGGTCCGAATTCAGGGCACTAGCTCTAGGAGAAGGCTTTCTCTCTGTCAGCTCTAGGGGAAGACCTTTGTTTCCTTTCAACATCTGCGAGTCCGTGGTTCTTTTAAGATCTCCATGTGTCTTGGCATCAATCTTCCCCTGGGTCTAGGAGATTCTCGGCACAGGGGTCCAAAGGAAGCACTCTGCTACCAGCATTTCTTTCTTAGTGGTAGTGAGGTCGCTCCCCTCTCTGCTCACTTTTCTCTCTTTTCATCTCTTGTAAGATAAAAGGTGTGGCTCAAGCAAGGGTGTGTGTGACTTGAGTAAGAGTGTGATGAGTCATACCCTCCTGTAAGGCTGTAACTCAAGATACACACCACACTGATCCTGCCTCATTAACATACAGAGATCAGGATTTATAACACATCACAAAATGGAGGATAATTATAGCAGATCACAAAATGGAGGATAACCACACAATATTGGGAATCATGGCCTAGCTAAGTTGACATCTATTTTGGTGGGACACAATTCAAATCATGACAACTGTCAAGGTGAAAACTTACTTTAAAACTCTTTCCTCTTAGATTAGTCCAAAGGACTAATGGTCCACAACTACCACAACTTCTACCAGGCTCCGCCCAGAACAACTAGATAGTGCCCGGTTACCACCACTGAGTGCTTTGACAGGGATCACGATAGAGGGTCCCAGAGAGAGGAGGAGAAAAATGTAGAACAAAACTCAAATTCACACACACACACACACAAGAAGACTAGGCTTGCCGGTCTCACAGAGACTGGAGAAACCCTGAGAGTATGGGCCTTGGACACCCTTTTAACTCAGTACTGAAGTCACTCCTGAGGTTCGCCCATCAGCCAAAGATTGGACAGGTCCATAGGGCCAACAAAAACACATGTGAGGAACGTGCTTCATAGTTCAATCATGTACACGAGACTAACGTGCACACCACTCCAAAAGCAAAGATGAGAAGGCAGGAAGGGACAGGAAAACTGAATAAACGCAAATAGGGAGCCTGGGGTGGAGAAGTGGAGAGTGTTGACACATCGTGGGGTTGGCAACAAATGTGACAAAACAATTTGTGTATTAACTGTTTAACAAGAAACTAATTTGCTCTGTACACATTCACCTAAAGCACAATTGAAAAATAAAAACAACTCTTTCCTCTTACTCTTCACCTAGTTAATTCCTTCTTACCCTTCAAAGCCCAGCTCAAAAATCCCTTCCTCAGGAAGTCTTCTGTGATGGCCCACACCAGGCTAGGCTTTCCTTTATATGGCCTCCAATACCCATTCTTCTTCATAACCCTTACCACAGTTGAAATTACATGATTGATAGCTATTTAATGTCTGCCCTGCCCAAGAATAAAAATCCTGTGAGAAGAGATTGTGTTAAATGAATGAGTGATTAGGATTTAAAGAAAAACGGACAAGACAAGTCAGTCTTTCTTAGTAACCTCTTGCCCTTTTCTACACAGTTTCAAAAGTAACAATAAAATCCCCAGCCCAGATCCCTCCTCTGAGCTCCAGACCCACATACCCAACTGCCTAATGGACATGTTAACCTGCCCCCAAACCATACACATCCCTCTCTGCTCCTCACCATCTCTTCCTATACTGTCTACCTTAGTTGAAGCTGACACTAATCCAGTCACCTAAGCCATAACTCCTTTCAATCCCTCACCTCTACCGCCCAACACAACTACTTTATCGCACAAACACTTCACAAATTTAGTCTTCCTCTCCATCCCTGCCACCACTGCCCGAATTCAGGAATTCAACACTTCCTGCCTAGACTTCTGCAATAGCTTAACTGGAACCTCTGCCTCCAGACTTAAGCTAAATAGTTAATCCTTAGGTAGCAGCCAGAGTGGTTATCAGCATTTATGTCTAAAACCCTTAAATGGCTCTCCCACATTCATACCTAAAAGTAGCTACTGGTGGACTGGGGGCCTAATCAAATGTACAAAAGGATTTATTTGGCCCACAAGGAGCCTTTCTTTAAAGTTTTTAATTAGTTGACCACATTTAAAATTTGCATTTCACATAATAAAAATATGGACTCTAACTTCACTTCAAAAAAACAAGAAGACCTGGCGATTCTGTGCCTACACTGCCACATGGTATCCACCAGTTGGAGCTGAATGGTAGCTGCCCTATTCAGAAAAGGCATGCACTCTATAATCCACCACATTCCCCACCACCCCCTCCTGTCCTAAACCTAGCTCACTTCAACCACTGACATGACTTGTTGGCCCCTGCAGGTCCTGGAGTTTGAGACTCCTGGCCTCAGGCTCAAGGTCAAGTTCAAGCATGGAAGGATTCTGGTAACCTGAGTCCCTTCTAACACCCCCACCACCTGTTTCATTCGGCAGAAACACCAGGAGTTTCCCGCACTCTGTGGTGGTGGCTATGCTCTACTCCTCCTTCTTCACCAAGGTAATACCTACTCATCTTTTAAGACCAGGTCAGACACCGCCTCCAAAAAGCAGGGTTAGGTGACTCCCTTCTATGTTCCAGTAATATCCCAAGTATGCCACCATATATGAGAGGATTATCTGCTCATGAATCTGTCCTCCCTACTATCACGTGAGCTTTCTGAGAGAAGGGACTGCGTTAAATTTATCTTTGCAACACTGTCATGGTTTGAATTATGTCCCCCCAAAAAATGTGTGTATCAATTTGGCTAGGCCATGATTCCCGGTACTGCGTGATTTTCCTGTATGTTGTAAACCTGCCTCTATGTTAATGAGGGAGGATGGGTGGCAGTTGTGTTATTAAGGCAGGACCTGATCTACAAGACTGGATTGTGTCCTGAGGCAATCTCTTGAGATATAAAAGACAGAAGTGAGCAGTGAGACGGGGACCTCATACCATCAAGAAAGCAGTGCCGGGAGCAGAGCGCATCCTTTGGACCGGGGTCCCTGCGCCGAGAAGCTCCTAGTCTGGGGGAACACTGATGAGAAGGCTGAGAGAGAGAAAGCCTTCCCCTGGAGCTGACACCTTGAATTTGGACTTTTAGCCTACTTTGACTATGAGGAAATAAACTTCTCTTCATTAAAACCATCCACTTGTGGTATTTCTGTTGTAGCAGCACTAGACGACTAAGACAAACACCAATGACCAGTCTAGGGCATAGCACACAGTAGGTGCGTAAACTGTTTGCTGAATTTTACTATAAAAAGAACCATTTATTGACAGACTTATCCTCTCATGCTCTGAAGGACAACTTCTAACAACCTGAAATGGGGAAAAATGAGGGTACTCTTTGTAAAGGAGGACTTTATAAACCGTTACAGGTCAGAGTCACATAAGAATAAGTTAGGCTGACTAAAGATTATGCAGAACCCAAGGAACAAACTTCTCTTCCTCATGTGCAGGAAGTAAGGTCATTCTTCTCCCTGTTCTTTGGATCCACACAATCTCAATTATACTTGGCCAAGATTCTTATAGATATGCTCAAGTAGTCTAACAATCTGCACACAGCTGACTTATTCTCTCATCATCTGACACAGTTTATTACCTTGCTCATTCACTATAGAAGTAGATGGAAACCATGAGTGTAGTTCACTGGGCTTTACTTTATACTGGTCAAATACATTCAATAACGAAGCTATGCAGGCTATATCACTGTGCACAAAATAGACTAACCACAAAACAGAAGGTTTACTGGAAGAAATGACTGCACTATGCCTGAAAGATTCTGAAAGATACCCAGTTTTGTTCCTCTGTGTAGCTTTTGTGTTGTAGGAAGTATTTGCAGCTTCTGGTTATTTTTTTTCTGCTCGAGGAAATCAAAATATGTTTCACCTGTAGAACTTGGACATGCATGTAAAAAACAGTCATCCCAAACATGGAGCTGAGTTTGAGTCATCTAACCCAAGAAAAACTGAAGATAATGCCTCTCCCCAACTTCCTGTTTCTATCTAGACTTTCCATAATTCTATCCCTGCATCCCTCTCACTTCATCTCATCTCACTACTGAATGCCAAGTTCCCAAATGGCCTGCCCTGAAAAGGAAGCATTTCACCAACTCATCCCTCCAGACTCACCTTCCAAACACTTCTTAATCACCCCACCTCCACACACACAATCCTGGAACTCTGATAAACAGCTGCAGGAAATTTGGGAACCCAAAAAGAGGGAAAAAAGGATGGATGACTATTCCATGTTCCTTCCTCATTTAAAAAAAAAAAAAAAAAGCGGAATTGGCGCTAAGTTTATGCCGAAATTGAAGCCGCAGAAAATTCTTCTTGTGGCCTCGGGAACGTGCTCCACCCCGGAAGGATAAGGGGTCGAGCCCCAAAGATGCTGCCAGGAGTGCCGAGAGATTCGGGGCTCAGGTCTGAATAAACAAGGCCCTGATACAGGGCAGAGCGAGAGGCCAGTGCTTCCGGAAATGTAATCCTCATGAACAATAACAGCGCTTAGATGGGAGAGCTGTCCCCATGCACAAAAAACCGCTCATAACAGAGAAAAGGCCCGGAAGCGTATGAGCAGATCCAGAGATGGCCCGGCGGGGACCCGACGAACAAGCCTGGGGCCGGGCTCGCGGGGCTGAACACGTGGAACCCAGACAGCCGCCCGAGAACCCGAAGGGCCCCAGACGCACCCCGCCTCGGTTCCGACACCCACTTACATCGTTGACCGTCTTTGCCCAGAGCCCGAGCTCGGGGACGGCGTCCACAGCCGCCGGGGCCCAGCACAGTAGACACAGGGCTACATGCAGCAGCGGAACCTCGGCGGGAAAACACGAGCGGCGGCGGGGCAGGAAAAAGGCCCAGGCGCGGCAGGCGGCGGACATCTTTAACGCAGAAGCCGCACCCAGTGCCCCGCGACCCCGGCCACGCCCAGAGCTCCGCCCCTTGTGGAGCTCCGCCCCCGAGAGGCTGCTCCCAGCCAGAAGGCTGGGGCTTCTCTTGAGAAGGTGGGTTTGGGCTGCGGAGGAGGGCCGTGGGCCCGGGCTGCGGAGGAGGGGCGTGGGCCCGGGCTGCGGAGGAGGGCCGTGGGCGCGGGCTGCGGAGGAGGGCCGTGGGCGCGGGCTGCGGAGGAGGGCCGTGGGCCCGGGCGAGGGGCCTAAGCGAAGGACAAGGCTTGGGACTGAGAAGCGGGGCCGGAGCCTGGGAAGTGGAATGTTAGCTGGTAGGTGGTCTCAGGACGTGGAGGCGGGTTCAGGGCCTGGCCCAGTGAAACACAGTGACGGCGAGGGCGGAACGTGGAAGCGAGGATCAGGCCTGGGAAGCCCTGGGAAGCGGGGCGGAGCGGGGCGGGGCGCGGAGACCCGGCGGGCCTGAGGCGGAAGCCGCGGGTCCCTGGCCCCGAACCGCCGCGTTTGCAACCGTGGTGAAGGATGTGTGGGCTAAAGTTCTGCTTCCAGTATCTCCGTTTCTTGCATCCTGTGTACTACCCCTGCCCAAACCCTACAGCTCTGGCGAAACAAACTGTTGTTTAAATACGTGGGAAGTATTTTGAGGCCACTGCCAGTTGAACACAAGTCATTGTGTTGTGGGGATAGTGTCAGTAGGACAGTTAAGTTTTTAGACCAAATACAGTTGCCAGATTGCTAAAAATTCAGAGGAGCAGGGCTGGGGTCGTTATCGTGTGCCTCCCACGGCATTTTCTACTATGGAAGCTGAAGAAATGTCTTGCTGTCAAAGAGAACTACCTCATTCATTATCAAATGTAAATAATGTCCAGAGGGCGAATACAATCCCGGACTAATTGTAATTAACGTAAAATAGAATCGATTTATAGTCATGAGGCTCTGACTGTCCTACCAAAAACCCTAATCATTCATTCAATCAAAAATTTTTGAGGGCCTACTATGTACTGGCGCCACTGGGTGGCTCAGTTTTAAAGGCTGGCAGTTCCAACCTACTCCACGCTGCTGCGGACGAAAGGCCTGGCGATCTTCCGTAAAGATCACAGCCAAGAAAACCTTATGGAGCATGTAACACATGGGGTCACCATGAGTTGTTACCAACTCCACGGCAACGTGTTTAGTATGTACTAGAGATTGCAAGTGCCTTCGTACCTTTCCAAGCAAGGTAGGGGTACACTATGTCACAGAATCACACAGGAACATTCACCACAGATTGGGAGGTTAGTCATGTAGGAGAAGAAGAGGACGAGAGATGACATTTAAGTCCTGAAGGGTTAAAGGTGAGTTAGTTATGTGTTGGAGCGAGGGGCAGGTTTGAATGTGTTCTAGTTAGACAGCATAGTCTGTGTAAGGGCCTGGAGGAACTGAGCCATCTCCCAGATGACTGCAGAGTGGTATGAAATCGGAAGTGGCAAGACTTGCTGTTGTTGTCAGGTGCTGTTGAGTCGGTTCCGACTCATAGCGACCGTATGTACAACAGAGCAAAACACTGCCTGGTCCTGTACCATCTTCACAATTGTTGCAATGTATGAGCCCATTGTTGCTGCCACTATATCAGTCTATCTCCGTAAGGGTCTTCCTCTTTTTCGCTGACCCTCTAATAAGCACGATGTCCTTCTCCAGGGACTGGTCCCTCCTGATAACATGTCCAAAATACATGAGACAAAGTCTTGCCGTCATCACTTCTAAGGATTGTTCTGGCTGTACTTCTTCCAAGACAGATTTGTTTGTTCTTCCAGCAGTCCATGGTATATTCAATATTCTTCACCAACACCATAATTCAAAGGCATCAATTCTTGTTTGGTCTTCTTTATTCATTGTCCAGGTTTCACATGCATATGAGGTGATTGAAAACACCATGGCTTGAGTCAAGTGCACTTAGTCCTCAAAGTGACATCTTTGCTTTTGAACACTTTAAAGAGGTCTTTTGCAGCCGATTTGCTCAATGCAATGTGTCGTTTGATTTCTTGACTGCTGCTTCCATGGGTGTTGATTGTGGATCCAAGTAAAATGAAATCCTTGACAACTTCATTCTTTTCTCCATTTATCATGATGTTGCTTATTGGTCCAGTTGTGAGGTGTTTTTTTTTTTTTTATGTTAAGGTATAATCCATACTGAAGGTTGTGGTCTTTGATCTCATCAGTAAGTGCTTCAAGTCCTCTTCACTTTCAGCAAGCCAGGTTGTGTCATGTGCATATCGTAGGTTGTTAACGAGTCTTCCTCCAATCCTGATGCTGTGTTCTTCATATAGTCCTACTTCTCAGATTATTTGCTTAGCATACAGATTGAATAAGTATGGTGAAAGATACAACCCTGACACACACCTTTCCTGATTTTAAACCATGCAGTATCCACTTGTTCTGTTCAAACAACTGCTTCTTGGTCTATGCACAGGTTCTGCATGAGCAAGTGTTGTAGAATTCCCATTCTTCACAGTGTTTTCCATAATTTGTTATAATCCACATAGTTGAATGCCTTTGCATAGTCAGTAAAACACAGGTAAACATCTTTCTGGCAAGACTGGGGATATGTAAATGATGTCAGAGCATACAGGCCCTCTTAGCCACATCAGGAAGATGGTGCTTTAGTGTAAGAACATCGGAGAGGCAATGGTGGTTTTTAAGCAAGGAGGATGCTGTTACCAGAAAGATCATTATGGCTGTCCTGTATTAAGATGGATAGTGGGATGATTAGTTAAGAAATTGTTACAATAATTCAGAGATGATGGCCTCACCCACAGAAGCAGCCATAGGGATGGAAATTTAGATGGATTCCAGAGACATGGGAATAGAGATTTTAAATGAAAAAGCCTTGATTATTGATTAGATATTGGGGCTTAGATAGGAGAGGAGTTGGGGCTGGTACCCACATTTCTGGCTGGAATAACTGAAATATGGAATACCAAGAGGAAGAGCAAGCTTGAACAAGTTAACTCCAAGCTGCCTTTGGAATGTCCAATAAAGCCATCAAGTGGACAGATCAATACATGACTTTGATGTCAGAAAAAGCAACTGGGGCTTTGGGATCATCTGCATGCAGATGAAGACTGAAGCCACGGGAGAGGGTGAGACTGCCTAGGGAGACCAGGATGGGGAAGGATGGAGCACTGGAAGCTGAATCCTGAAGAACAAATTATCACAGAAAGTCCCAGGATCTTAACCTTGGCTGCACAGGGAGTCGTTGAGGAGCTTTACAAAATACCCAAGGCACTAATTTTGAAAAGATGGTGGCAGTGGAGATGATGTAGTTTTTAAAATCTACTGTTGTTGTTGTGTGCTGTCAAGTCAACTCCAACTCATACTGACCCTATAGGACACAGTAGAACTGCCCCATAGAGTTTTCAAGGGTGTAATCTTTATGGAAGCAGATTGCCAGTCTTTCTCCTGTGAAGCGGCTAATGGGTTCAAACTGCCAACTTTTCAGTTAGCAGCTGAGTGCTTAACCACTGCACCACCAGAGCTCCTTTATCTACCTGAATACTCCCATAATCCCCCGCTATGATAGAGTAACCAAAAGACCAAAAGCGACATGCATAATACAGCCAGGACAAAGTATACCCATCAAACCCCAAATACAAGTGGATGGTAGCAGCATCTGAACAGGAGGAAACAATGGGATCTGAGCACAGGACAACCCATATCCCATCAGGTACTCATTGAAATTCCAAGAATAGTAGAGCAGAGAGGGGGCTCTGCAGGATCCAATTCAGAGGTGAGGGCAAAGGGACCATGAGAAAATATCTGATGCAGCTGGAGGAATCTGTATCGTACGAATTCTTAAAACTAACAAAAGGAAGCTTGCATCCAAAATAAAGTCTCATAGTAAAGAGAAACTGTTGCAAGCAGAATTCAAATTCAGTAAGGCATAAACAATGAGAGAGGGAAGAGATGGCTCAGATAAAAGTGGGTGATGTGAACAGAGCCTGGATATCTGAGCAAGTTCAAGGCCATTTTTTATAAGTATCTCATAAAAACAAGAGGAGCTCTAGAGCATGAGGTTAGAAAAGTTACTTAGTTCAGAACTTCCTCTTTAAAGTTCAGGAAAACTAATTCCATATTAAGATGAACTATAGTAAAATTACTATGCATATGAAATTATTATAAGATAAAAGAAAATATGGAGCAGAATACAACCTATCTTAGACTGGGTTCTCTAGAGAAGCAAAACCAGTGAAGCTTATACTTATGTGTGTATATATATACATGTATATATATAGAGAGAGTTATCTCAAGGAAATGGCTCACGCAGTTGTACAGGCTGGCAAGTCTCAAGTCTGTGGGTCAGGTATCAGGCTGGAGGCTTCTCCTGGCTCACATAGCTGCAGGGGCTGAAAAATCCCAAGATCGGCAGGTAAGGTGGCAGACTGCTGGCTCACAGGCTGCAGAGGCTGACAAATCCCAAGATCAGCAGGCAATACAGCAGACCGCTGACTCAAGTCCCAAGAACAGGAGGTTAGATGATGATGCGCTGGAGCAGGATCCAGAGTGAGCAAAAGCCAGAGAGCTTTGCCAGAATGTCCATATATGTTGGATGCAGGCCACACCCCTGAGGAAACTCACTTTATAAGTGATAGGCTGATTACATCATGGAAGTGATTACATTATGTCACAAAATGGAATATAACTACATTATTACATAATTGCCAAACTATATCATTACATCACCGCTAGATCACTGAGATTCATGGCCCAGCCAGGCTGACACATAGCATCAGCATAACACAGGTTGTTAATGAGTCTTCCTCCGATCCTGATGCCGCGTTCTTCATATAGTCCAGCTTCTCAGATTACTTGCTCAGCATACAAATTGAATAAGTATGGTGAAAGGATACAAAGCTGATGCAAATCTTTTCTGATTTTTAAACCACACAGTATCGCCTTGTTCCGTTCAAATGACTGCGTCTTGGTCTATGTACAGGTTACTCATAACAATTACAGTCCTCATTTTGGCAACTAGTCACATGGTCATAACTGGTCTTTAGAACTACCTTCTTCAACCACCCATTCCATTTTCCCTTTGCCCTCAGCAAGCACCTCACTGATCA